TATATTGCATACACATACTGTATGCACATATAATATATATGTATATATATATATTGCATATGTATATTGTATGCATATATATATATCATATTACATGTATTGCAAATTAATAACTTACATTACGTTTTCTACACAAACTAATCGTCGCACCGCACCTCGGGCTTCCAGAACAAGGCTAACTAGCAGCAGCGCATCTTGTAACTCGCGGGCCTGAACCAGGGTGGTTGCTGACCTTTGTATCAGAGGAAGAACGACGACAGGCTCTTTAGGATCACAATGAAGGGAGATCGTTACACCTAATAGTGCTGGGGAAGGAGCAAAATTTGGGAGTGATGGGGCAAAATGAAAAATGAATTGAAGTGAATGAATCGATTTCGGGAAGAAGACAACTTTAGGATGCGAAGCTTTTTTCGTTCGATAGAGGCGGGTGTTCTGCTTACGAAGCACTCACTGATCGTTTTCTTGCTTCCTGATCAGTCTCCTCATCAAAGCATTTCCCGCACACATACGCACACACTCACATACACGCGAACCCGCACACACACATACATAAAAACCAACCAATACATACCCACGTACATACACATCACACACACAGATGCTAGCGTACAGCCGATATTACACAACGTACAGGCAGCTTGGTGGTGACGCTCATATTGCCGTTTATGAATAGTGCGGTAGATAAATGTGGGTAGTTTATAAACTGCACTCGGCACTCTGCCCGTCCTCCCGCATTATTCCAAATCGGCGAATCACCCATCCGGCACTTATCATCCGATCGTCCATTTCTCTTTTCACACTTCCACGCACAGAAATGCAGATTTGACAGGTGATCGAAGACTATCTGATTCCTAGCTTGCGATTTTTTTCCCCTTGAATGCTTTGTCGTTTCTTGGCTTTTTGCGAAAAATATTGAGATCAGAGCACAAGACTGTGTTTGTTTGTTAGCGTGAACACATGACGTATATGTGGCTACTTGAATTGATCAGACTGGGACTACGTAAGATAGGAAGCTGGGACTTTCTGGATATAGTTCATGACAAATTCGAACAAGTACTGAGACTGGAATGGGCATTTAGCCATCTCTGTTACGATCTCAGACAACAGATCGAATTTCGCGCAAAGTTTTAATTAGATAATATTATGGGTAAATATTTTAGATTTTAATTGCGACAACTTTACAATAAGTTTTAGTTACGGCAAATTAATTCCTACTTTACCTTCTTTTTAGTTTCAATTACAACTTTGAAAAAGCAAGCCGGAAACATGAAATTTTTGGAATTAGCAAGAAAGTCCAATTGTGGTAATATTAAGAAATGTATACGATTTAATGAAATAAAAGATTTTTTACCATTATAATTTCACCAAAATAATTTTACTACTTTTACTAATTTCTTAATATCGTTTCCTCTTCTCTTCTTTCAATTTCAAAATACCTTTCTATTAGCAAACTGAGCGAGTAAATTATCACGCTACAGCATATAGACCCACTACGCTTGTAGAACAACGACCCATAAGAAGACATGATAGCTGCACCACCCCAATTCATCTTTAGCCAAAGTATTTAAGTAACACTGAACTAGATAGTATTCTCTCCGTTGAATGAACAGTTGCGGAACGTTCTAACGCATTTTTGCGACTGCATTCAGATGGTGCTTATAAGCTGTCATACAAACCGTTTGATGTGTCCGACGGATGTAGAGAACTGGACTTAGCGAGTTTTAAAAGTTCATTTCAGGATTTTTTCACTCCGCAGTAGCCGACGAAGCAGAATTCCAAAAAAAATTTGGACTTTGTATCTCCTTATCTGATGTTACAAAATAGACTGAAACTTAGATCTAAGTTATATGGGCAAAGATTCATTGAGTTTTACAAGCATGTTTTGGAGTGCCTGTACCCCAATGTTCGACAATCAAGCCTCCAAAACTTCCACAGCGTAGCTTCCAATTCCATCCTAATGAAAAAAGATCAAATGGGATTTGAGCCACTTGTAGGCTAAAAGGCAAACTCGATGTCGGATTTGTTGTTCTCCTTTGTTTCGGGGCCCAAATTTAAAAGTCTTTACTAAACTTTTCGTGTATTTCACTGTGGCCGAGATACCCAAAGTACTCCAAATGATAGCATTTTATTAATTAGCAAATACCAGTATGCAAGGCTGTCGATGGTTCTCTTTTCCTGACGGTGAAAAAGTCTGTCTTGCTGGCATGCCAGAATTGCCATTGGGATGAGCCAACGGACTGTTCAGGATCGACTTCCCAACGGGTTCACCGTTCGAGAAGGAACTGCCTTCAATAAACCAGACCTGCTAACGGCTACATAACCTTCTTTGTATCCGTCAGAATATTACCTGATTCTACGGTGTGAAAAAAAATTTTTTTCACCTTTTTTTCTCACTTTCGCACCATTTCTGTTCTTCCTAAAGTCAATTTCAGCTAGCTGAGCTTCTGAATTTATGAGTTTGTACGGCAAAAACTTGATCAAGGCTGCAGTTCTATCGCGCTTGATCAGACTCTAGCCCGAATGAAATATGTGATCAGTCTATGCTTAACTAATTCTATAACTTTAGAAGTGAATTACAGAACGACAAACAGACACATACATTCGGCAGCGAAGGAACTGAAAAATTATTGCGCATTCTGATACATACAGCTGGAGTACGGGCATAATCAGTGTGCAAACAAAAACACGCGCGTCATAACATTTCTTGATTTGTGTGATAAAAGTGGAAGCTGATTATGATTGTGGTGGATGCGAAAGAACACACAGCTCAGTTACTCTCTGGGCTGCCTAGGAAACGGGTTAGGTGGAGTGCGTAAAACTTCCTAACTGTTTCGTGTTCGTGGATTTCTTATCACAGTTAAATGTTCAGAACTTCAGAAATAGGAAGTTAAACAGGTCCGCATAATCTACCATCTTGTAGGATAAGGCAGCCGAAGCTAACTCGCTTAGAGGGCCCAGATCGAAAGGGATTAGGTAAAGTAACATTATGTAGCCGAGATGTGCTTGATTCCGGACTATTACACCGAAATGAATGGACGATGCTGCTTCTTCATCGCTTTTCGCAATTTTCGAATTTACAAGGATAGACTCCGCCCGGAGCTGCCCACTGTTCGGACTAGCCGGGCCCGAGCCAGCCCAGCTAGGCCCGTATGTCACCGCACTGGCAACAATCAGCGACAATAGCAGCAAGGCTCGAAATGGGAACGATAACAAGCCAGTAATTGCTTTCCAGGCCATTTTTAATCAACGACGAAGCAAGCCAAGACGGTGGAGAGAGGGGGCCCAAGTACAACTACAAACAGACCTGACCGGGCCTCATCAAATGACTGGAGTAAATGCTGAGCAGCCATAGCCAGAATTGATGCTGACGGCTTGCGCAGACACCGTCTGGCTGCATGTTGTGTGTTACCGGAGACTTGGCCAGCAGTGGCGGAGCAGCAGCAGCCAGTGGCCAGTAGGCTTGGGCTAAAAAAAGTCAGCCAGCCAGCCAGCCAGGGATGCAACAGTGCGCGGATGCATGAATGGATGGATGTCTTTTCTTGGGAAAGGAAGGATGAGGAACGCTTTTTAATTTAGCCAAGAGGAGCAGGGGGAGGGACAGCGGCGATCGTTAAAACTATCGAGACTACGGTAGCTAATAACCCAGCATGCTCTGCTGTGCATCGTATCTTCTGTGAAAGTCAATTTGCCAGACGCGGTTAGGCCTGCTGCAAAACAACTCATCGCACTCACTTCCTCTTCGGGCAACGAAGAAGTGCTTGCAGTGGTAGCGATGATTGGCGAAATTTGAATCTCGGATTCTGGGTGCATCGAATCGCTTAGCAGAAGTGAATGGAGAAACGGGAAATGACTGCTACTGCTACTGCTGATGCTGCCTCATCGGCCGGAGGGAAGGCGGTGGCAAAGTGCTCGGAAGCTGCTGGTAGGCAAAGGAGATGGATGCTCTGGGAACGGGGCTAAAAATAACCGGCCAGCCGGAGTGAGAGGCATCCCGGGGTGTTGCTACTCTTGATGCTGATGATGATGATGGTGATGATGATAGTGTGTGCCAAGTGACGACCACAGTGCAAAGCTAATACCTGTTCTAAGAGTGCAGGAAACTGAGCCGGATTGCAAATAGATTAAAATGAATAGAAATTGCAAAGAAGGCAACCGATTGTCATCACCATCGTCATCATCATCATCATCACTGGCACCATCATTAGCAGTGTCAAACTGTTAGCACTAGTAGCTTTACCACCGGTGCTGTCGTCATCATCATTCCTGGTGTTATCAGCAGGACTGCCAGTGACAGAAGGACTGCCAGAATCACCTTCGGTAATCAGAAAAGGTAGTGGTAGCACAGTAAAAAAAACTTCATTTCCTTTTTTGAAAGGAAAGCTAGGATGACAAAAACAGTTTACGCTCGTATTTGTGGCCTGCTGCCACTATTTTCGACCACAAAATTGAATTGTTCGTGTAAGCCGATGATGCTGATGACAATGGCAGAAGGAGAAGCAATAGGAGGACCATTTTTGGGCATCGATTGCAGGAATGAAATGAAGCCAGCCTATCCAGAGACCCTCTGCATCGGCGGCCATGCTGCTCAGTACTACTTCATGGACACTGGCAAAAATAAAGGATGCATTGTCCACAAACACACAACATAGCACGTGTGCATTTAATGCATCCAAAGGATGTGCTCCTACTACTACTTGCAAGCAGCCCTATGCTGGAATACACCATGCAAATCTAATTATATATGCATATGCCTTGATATTTTGTAATTTATGTGGTACTCCGACTGCGCAGTTAGAAACTTTTCCATTCGCTTTAACCAATTGCTGCATTGTTTTGTGACCAGTCTGCTGGCGATCCTAACATTCGTTGCGTCTCCTGAAGAGATTACGTCCTCCCAAAACCCAGGTTGGAACGCACCAGGCGGGCCGGTGCGATTATGCGTTTTTGCACTTTTCGTGTCGTAGCAAGATCGCAAGGAATCACAGTAACTAACCCTGCAACATACTGACCCTCGAAGTTCGAGAAGTTAATTGTGCAGTTATGTGGCGTGTCAGTTGTAGATGTCGGTTTCAGTGACTCGGCAAATGGAAAGGCGTTGGCCCGCCAAAAAAATCACACACCACAAGAGTTAAATTTGAAATCTTTTAGTCGTACATAAGTAGGGAATATTCGCTTAAAATTAAAGCCTTAAGCTTATCTCGTTCCCGTCTTTTAGTAGTACCTAAGAAGGGAATATTCCCTTATAATTAAAGCCTTGAGCTTATCTCGTTCCCGAATTGGCAAGTTTTCCCACCAAAACTTTCACGTGTCCCTACGTGATTACGGGACAGTTTTAAGGAGATGAATTTAAAATCTTTTGGTCATACATGAGTAGGGGGCGTCATCCTGAAGTTTCAGCTTTCTAGCTTTTTTCGTTCCCGAGTTAATGGTTTCCGCGCCAAAAATTTCCACGTGCCTGTACGAGGGCCCCCGGTGCTTCTAAACACCTGATTTTGGTCAAACATGAGTAAGAAACATTTCCCGAAAGTTTCAGTTTTCTAGCTTTTCCCGTTCCCGGGATAGTAATTTTTGCGCCAAAATTTCCACGTGTTCGTACGTGGGCTCCGGGCGCTTCTAAACACCTGATTTTGCTCGTACATGAGTAGGGGACATTCCTTTAAAGTTTCAGCTTTCTAGCTTTTACTGTTTCCGGGTTAGTAATTTTCGCGCCAAAAACTTTCACGTGCCCGTACGTGAGCCCCGGGCTGTCCTGAGGAGCTGAGTTTGAAGACTTTCGGTCGTACATGAGTAGGGAACATTCCTCCAAAGTTTCAACCTTCTAGCTTTTCTCATTCTCGAGTTATGAATTTCCCGCCGTAATTTTCACGTGCCCATACGTGAGCTCCGGGCAGTCCTGGGCAGCTGAATTTAAAATCTTTTTGTCATACAAAGGTAGGGAA